TTCGTGTGCACAAAGCTCCTCAAAGTGATGATTTAAATAATATCATATATTCAGGCAAAGTTGAGATCCAGAAAGGAAGCCGCTAAGTAGGTAGCATTAGATAATTTATTAATTAATTGCATTTACATCCCACTTTTGCTTCCAAGATCATCAAGGTGCCCTACATGGTTCTCCCCCATCTCAATTACTCCTCACAACAACCATGTGGTGTAAATTAGGTTGAGAGGCACTGACTGGTCCAAGTCACCCAGTGAACATCATGGCTACGTGGGAATCTGAACCCTGGTCTCCCAGTCTCCTAGTCTGACACACTAACCACTACACTGGCCTGGCTCTCAGCTATTGGTTACAATTTATATGCACATTTTGGCAACTAACCTAAACTCTCCCTGTGGGTGTGGGTGTGGCTTGTCTCACTAACTTGAGCCACCTGAAATAGTCTGGGGAAGTATATCTGAATGATACTATAAAAATAAATATAATTTCCCCTGAGCACATGCATATATAGCCTGTCTTGTCTCTCCAGTGGAGCATGCAGCAGTCACCTCCTCACATGCACACCTGGGATTACAGCACGGATGGTTAACCTGGTGCCTTTCAGATGTTGCTGGACTGCAGCTCCCACCAGATCCAAACAGCATGGTCAATGGTGAGGAACGATGGGAATTGTAGTACAACAGCATCCAAAGGGCCAACAGTTCCCCATCCCTGACTTCTACTTGTGCACCTTATACAGTCATGGTCAATAGTCAGAAATTATGGGAGTTGTAGTTCAGGCAAATCTAGAGGGCAGCAGGCTTCCCATCTTTGGATTACAGCTTTCAAGGTACAAGGAGCAATTCCAAAGTCTCCAAGGCCTTTCGACCTCTCATTAAAAAATAAAATAAAAACAAGAGCCCCAAGCAAATCAAGCCTTCACAGTGGAAACATGCGCCTGTTTTCTTCTTCTCTCTCTGACCGCCCCCTCCAAACCCAAGGCTGAAAATTAACGAGATTAATTATATTCGGCCAGCGATCCTGCATATTTGTGCCAAAAAATCTATCGGACGAGTGTCATTTCCTCCCTTTTGCCTACAGTAATCCTCAGCCTTTAGAGCAAATTATTAAAATTCACTTATATTTAATCTGCCTTCTGGAATTAATTGAATTTTTACGCTCGGCAAATGTCACTATTTGCGCTGGCTCCAAACGGCTAAATGACAAACTGGCTGACAAACCAAACCACAGGCTCTGAAAAACCAAGGCTGGGGAGAAGAGAGAGGAGGGTGGGGGGATCTGGATTGGACAAAGCATGGCAGATGAGACAAGGGGAAAAGGAAGCACAGCAGCACCCTAACCTCTTATCTAAGCACAGGATGAGGAGCCAGACAAGCAAGTAGATACTGGAGCGCATGGCACAATGAGTGGTCATACTGGACTACATGCTAGTCTTGTTGCAAATCCAGAAGATGTATTTTGTCAGTAACTTGATCCTAGTAATTCAGGGATCCTCCATTTATCCTGATTAGAGTATGGCCATATCCACACTATGCATTTATAGCACTAGGCTAACACATCAAATAGTCATGGCTTTCCCCAAAGAATCCCGGTAACTTAAGGGTAACAAGAGTTATTTGGAGATCCCCATTCCTTTCACAGAGCTACCGTTCCCAGAGTTCCCTGGAGAGAGGTATCAACTGATAAGCCACACTCTGGGAACTGTAGCTCTGTGAGCAAGAATGCTTTAAACCAGGTGTGGGGAACCTTTGTTCCTCCAAATGTTACTGAAACTACAACTCCCATCATCATTCATGGCCATGCTTTCTAGGGCTGATGGGAATTTTAGTTCAGCAACATTTGGGGATACAAAGGTTCCCCATGCCTGCTCTAACACAGAGACTGATTGGCAGCTGCTCCAGGTGCAACCATCAGTGCATCCTTACTTTGGTTTCGAAGTGATGCATTTGACCACAATCAGAATACTGGTTTCAACTCAAGCTGGTTGCTGTTAAGACTTCCCACAAGTCTTGCCACTGGTTCTTCAGCTCGAGTTCAAAGATGGGAGTAAAATCACTCAGATAAATTTTTGCATGTGTAAAAGCAAGGTGCGTTGCCACTTGAAGACCTGGAGAGTTTGAAGCAGGAAATAATCACAATGAAATAGCCCAGCAAACCTAGCTAATTGTGATGTTAGCTTCCATCTTTCAAAACAAAGGCCTTGGCATGTGCCACTAAAGGGTTGCTTACAGATACTACAATTATTTATATCTTGCCTTTCAGAATGACAGAACCATAAATCACAGGTCTCCTTCCTTTAATACAACCCACAAAGCCAAGATGCACTACAACTTAAAGGGATGTGTGAACACTGAAATTTCAGCATGCGGATTTTGTGCTCTGTAGGGCCTAATTCTGCACCCATGTGGCATAACGGTGGAATTGCAGAATCCACACAGGAGTTGCACATACATCTCCAAGAGCAGGTAGAAATTCAGCACGTGGCAGCTCCTTTGCCCACAGTGAGAAAATTGGTGCCTATTCAATACGTATACTTGGAAAGTATAAATGCACTTAGAGATGCTCACCTCTCTTCACCTGTTCCAGAGCTGAACCCTGGTATACAAAACAACAACAAAAACAGGGTCCACTGCAGAGTCGTGGTGAAAATGTCTGTTCAAATTAAGCCCTGTGATTTGCCACCCTTTGGAAGGAGCATACTATGCAGTGGATTCATCCATTCCAGGCCCATCCTCCTGCTGACCCAGTCTCTGGCTGAATTTAGCAACCAGAAGCTCAGAAAATGCAACCTGCTGTGTGAGAGATAAAGGACTCCCCCTCCTTCCTGAAATTGCCAGAGTGTCTAATTTGCCTGTTTGGAAGGAAGGAAGAGAGGCTCTATTTTGCTGGGTAATAACTAAGCCTCACCAGACAAAAGCGGTCTCAGGCATTCAAATCTGCGCACCGATGCTACAAAGGGCAGGCAGCTCTCTGGATCTCCAAGGGCCAATAGCACCACACGTTCTTCAGATTATCCTTTGAGGGCTATTGTTTGCCCTGAGCAAGGGAAGGTGGGGGAGCCAATCCTTCCCCCTTCCCGTTTTCTAAGGATGTACCCCAAATGTTGTTCCCCATCCCTTTTTTTTTTTACACTGCTGCTTGTGTATTTTGGCACTAACCTGAAGTGCAGGGGATTAGGTATCTGCATTGCAAGAAAACAAAATTAAAAAGGAAAGAGGTATAAAATTGTGTGTGGTTGAGCACAACAGGCTGGTTTGAGCTGAGACAAGATGCTGCCACCCCTCTGGTCTGGGCTAGCAAGAGGTCCCCACAGCCAAATGCCTGGCACAGCTTGGTTATAGCATAAAGGGTCTTTGCTCACTCAACTTTCATGGGATTGCCTTCTATTTCTAAAAGTACAATTGTGTAAAGCAGTGGGAGTTCCCTGCTGGAATGATCACTTGACAAGCCAATTCTGCTCTACAGTTTAGACTTGCCCCAAAAGAGGTCAGAGCTATGTTATTTGTGGGGTACAGCAGAACAGAACAGCAGAACAGAAGTCTGAACAATGTTCAGCTGCCCCTCATCTCTGCAGAACCACAAGTGGCCTGCCTGGGATAACCCCAATCTCACCCCTATTTGTAAAGCCCTAAGGAGGCCACCATGCATGACTAAGCATGACTCCCACAGTCAGCAGAACCAAAGACACAGCTGGCAAACAAGGTTAGCATACAAACTCCCAAGCCACAAATTATGTCCACTGGTTTCATTATGGCTGCTCTCCTGGACAAAAAGAATGAAGGTAAGGACATAAGCAGAGCAGCGCTGATGGATCAGGCCCACGGTGTAAATAGCCAGCCTGCTTCTTGCACAGGTAAACTAGCAACAAGGGGCAGTGATGGCCACCAATCACAATCCATTATTTAGCTATCGCGAACAGTGGCCACTGGTTGATAAGAGGAGTCTCTTTTAAAAGGAGCATCCTCCCAACTGCCTTAATCCAATGCAAGGGATTATGGGACGGCCACTATTTTGCTTCTAAGCCTGTGGACAAAGCAGAGGGGAAGCAGCGGGAGTTCCTCTCTGTGGGGCTTTGTGTAGCCACCAATTTCAGTGGACAGCACAGTACTTGACTGCCAATATGGTGTGGGAGCAAAGCTGTCCTGGCTTATAAATACAAACACGCCCAATGTCCCAACAGCGCTGCTAAAACAGTTCCTGTGTCTCCTTTGTTCAGCCTGTCTCTTTCAATTCAGCTGCAAGAGGAAATCTTGATGGAGGAAGGGGGAGAAGGGCAGGGGGGTGGAAAACAGGTGCCTCCCAGACTTGACTCCTTCCTGCCCTCCACTCCTGGGATTATCATAAATTAAGATGTAATTACTCTGCATACAATTGCAATGCAAAGATTCCAAAAGCGATAAGCAGCACATTCCACAGTGAGGAATGGGATAAAAGGAGGCCATTGTGAGCTATTTATTGGTCTCTCTCCCCCTTTCTCTCTTTGAGAAAGGTGGCAGAAGAGTTAAAATGAGAGCCTTTAAAAACAGCCATGGTGTTTCAGCACTGGGGCTCCTGGCTTCAGACTAAGAACAGAAAAGGCCTCAACTGAAGTATGAGACCTTCCACATACCAACTACAGGCACAAATCTTTGCCAGTGATGGGTCTGTGGACATCTGAAGCAACACAGTTCTGAACATTGGGGCCTGAACACAATCCTTTATTCCAAGATGTCAGCGGATCAAGCAATACATGGCAATGTCAACAATAACACCTCCTTCTTGGGTAACAATCCAGAGTCGAACATCAACCTGTGGAAGATGCTAGGGAGGAGTCAGCAGACCGGGGAGGCTGATGTGCCCAGGAGTTCCATTTTTCTACAGCTTCCATCATTCTTGCCCATGCTGGATGGGGCTGAAAGGAACACAGGAAGCTGTGTTATGCAATAACAGACCATTGGGTCTATTTAGCTCAGTATTTTATACACTGGCTGGTAGCGGTACTCCAGGGTTTCAGGCTGGGGGCATGGAGATGCCAGGGATTGAACCTGGGACCTTCTGCATGCAAAACAGACGCTCTAACCGCTGTCCCTTCCCCAAAGGGAGGTGTTGGAGATTAACAACATCTGGAGGGTCTGCAGGTTCCTTACCCCTGATGTAGAGTGAAGCTTTCCAAAGCAAACACAAACACACACCTGACTTCTTCTTTGTCTGCCAAGAGTTCCTGGCTTCCTTTTCAAACCCTAAATCGCTCTGTTCTGCCCACAAACTGTGTATGCCAACCAGTGATGTTTCCAGCCAACCAGGAGCACACTTTTGTCCTACATACATTATCTGGCTTTTGCTCAGGCCTAGATTGGCTTGTCAGCCTTTCAACAGCCTGGTGACTCCCCGCCTCCACCCACTTCTGTGGATTGTGTTTTATGAAGTATTTTGGCAAACATCTTATAAGAAGTGGTCTTGATAATTTGCATAGGACCAAATGTATGCTGTCAGCTTTTTTTAGCTTCGGATCATATTTAAATGGTTTAATTTGTACTTATTTGTACATTTAGCTGCTGTTTGGATTATGGCGGCAGTAGTGGGGTTTTGGTGCATATACTTGCACAGAGAAAAGAAACTAAACAACAATATATAGTCGTAACTTGGTACTTGTACGTTTTGGCTCCCAAACGCCGAAAACCTGGAAGCAAGTATTCCGGTTTCTGAAAATTTTCCGGAAACTGAACGTCCGACACTGCTTCTGCTTGAGTGCAGGAAGTTCCTGCAGCTAATCGGAAACCACGTCTTGGTTTTCGAACGTTTCGGAAGTTGAACGGACCTCCAGAATGGATTACATTCGAGAACCAAGGTAAGACTGTATAAATAAAATAAAATCAACACAACTGGTTTCATACACTGTCAGCTTCAATTTAATATTCATTTTGGATATTCTAGTCACCCTTGAGAAAAATCATACAACATCCCCGCTTTAGAGTAGGGGAACTGAGAGCTGTCCAAGGCCATGTGGTGAGTCTAGGACAGGAGGGCTCGAACCCTCATCTGTGGACATGCCTGCTCCCATAAAGTAGCAAGAAACCATCACAAGAGCCCATCACAATTACAACTTCTTGTGCTGAGTCAGGCCATTTGTTGATCTTGCTTGGTAATGTCTACACTGACTGACAGCAGCTCTCCAGAGTTTCAGACAGGAGTCTCTCCTAGTCCAACCTGGAGATCCCAGGGATTGAACCTGGGACCTTGTGCATGCAAAGCAGATGCTCTCCCATTGAGCTACCGCCC